TGTGTGTGGGTGTGTGTGTGTAAGAGAGAAAGAGAGAGAGAACATCAGAGCGAGGAAAAACTGGAGGCTGCTTTCAACACTTGTTTGCACAAAGGTGTCATCTCCGAAAGCAGCTGCCGCGCAGAAACGGAGAAAAATGGGAAAATTATTTTAATGGCCAACACGACACACACACACACACACACTTTTCACACAAAAAGCGTTCACACAAGCACGGACCAGCTGTGATGTGTTTGTTCTTTTCATTTAATCTGCATTTAGGCTTTTGTTGCTCCATAATCCGGCTTGTTAAAAAGCTGGACCTGACAGGTTGGGATCGATGCTGCGGAGATGAATCGGAGCGGTTCTCCAAATGAAACACAAATACAAGCGCTCGGTTTTGGCGGAACAGCTGCTATCCGAGCGAGCGCACATGTAGCATTGTTGGGAACAAGAAGGTGTTTGTAAAGTTGTTTTTCATCGTCATCAACATTTAATTATGAAATCTGAACGCTAGTTTACACCTGCTCAGCAACCTGTCGCCTGTCGCGCCCAGACTCGAGGAAAGTCGAGGAAAATGTCGGAAAAGAAAAAAACAGGCGAGACGCGGCGGAATAAGTGCAAACAGCAGGACGAGGCCAAATAAAGACTTTACATTTTCACTCCAGAACAACTCAAATGAGGCATTTTTTTTTTAAATATATATATTTTAAAAGATGCATCCTCCTCCTACGCAATGCATAAAACATGCTGGCTTAGGGGTAAGGAGTGGAAAAAAAGTCTGAATGCATGCAGTTATTTGCCAGACCAATGAAGTTTCAATTTCTGTGTTTGCTTGTTTATCTGGGGAGAAACAAGAGAAGCGAGAAGGCATGAAGAGACGTGGGCCTTTTCTCCGACTCATCCTGCAGAGTCTGGAGTCTGACACCAGTTCAGGAGGAAAACGCCGCCGCCGCCGCTACGCTCACATCGCATCCCCCCACTCTGCCTCCACACAGCCAAAGCAGGGGTTAACATCACGGCTGCCTGGTAGGGCTTTATCCCGAACCGCTCCGAACAAAAGGCCCCTTTTGCAAACAGACTCCTACTTTTTTTTCCACCCCACAGTGTCCAAAGGTGTTTGCTGAAGTAAATCTGCCTAAATCCTGCCAGGAGGGGAGGGAAGGTGTTCCGATAATCCCTAAAAAGAAAGTTGTGGGTGAGAAACGGTGTCACATGACGGCTGGGGACGTCTCACTGTCCGTCCAGACGAGACACCTGCTCTCCTTATCTGCTCAAAGCAGCGTTTCTTTTGATTTGTATTTTTCTTTTTCCTGAGCGTCTGTGAATAGTGTGGGCATGCCATCTCGTAACACTATCTGCGTGTCAGGAGGGGCCGGGGGTCCCTGCTGGAGTACGGAGGCTATAAAAGGCTTGTAACCAGGGGACGAGCAACAAACAACCACAAACACCCTGGTTATTCCTCTCCAGCACCCACCCACCACTTTCTGCCTCCATTTTTCTCTTCTTCTTCTTCTTCCCTCCTCCCCCTCCTCTTTTCATCTCGGGCCCTTTTCTGATGCTGAATGCAAATGTGTAGCCCTGCTGCTGGCGGCGAGAGGGGCTGAATTGTGATTAAGGAGAAGAAGAAGAAGGAAGAAGGAGAAGAAGAAGAAGAGGAGGAGGCTCTTTTTTTCTCTCTTCTTCTTTGTTCTCCCCCCGGGGGGATGTTTACCAGGAGAGACACGGCGGATCAGATATGAAAGGCATTCAGGTCAGCATTGATGTGAGCGAAAGTGAAATCGTACCTAAGGCATTCCAAAGAGAGCCGCGGTGTCAGGGGGTCCGGGGCCGCCGGTGCCTCCTGCGAGTGTGTGTTCAGAGGCCGGCAGGCACACAAATATCTGCACACAGGCAGGAGGACGGCAGCCATCACAACGCACCCATGGTAACGAGAAAAATGTGTCAAGAAAGGAGAGAAACCAGGTCCGAACCGCCAACAATCAGCCTGCTCCGCTTTTAAAGCACAAACACACAGAGTGATTCTGAAACTGCTTTTTATCCATCACAGGATGAAATCTCCCTGAATGTGACTCCACTACAACTTTCATGTCTTCCACAGAGCAAATAATCCCAGATTTCCTTCCTCAGGAATCCAGCAGCTTCCTGCTGGGGTGCAGCCCCGTGTGGGAATGGCAGCCCGGACAACCCCCCGCCACTATTGACGGTATAAACATGTAAATGAAACACATTACCGCTGACAATCAATTGTCCGCGAGCGCCCTGCGAAACGCAGCCCTCCTCCTCCTGCTGCTGCTGCTTTCTCCTCTGTTTCTCCCTGCCTGGTGGAGGCAGGAGTTTCAAGGAAAGGTGCAAACTTTTAAAAAGCCAAAACTCCATATTCCTGCAGATTCCTGCTGCTCGGGGTTATGTAATCGCCGAGCGTTCCCAACGCTCCGGAGTCACGGCAGAAACACACCAACGCAGAGATTCTGTCATTTTCCTCCTTAAATGTTGCTGTTTGATGCTCGTGCTGCTTGAGCGAGAAAAAAACAATCCCAGGTGTGTGTGTGTGTGTGTGTGTGTGTGTGTTCCCGTTGGCCGCTCACAGCTGGACGTGACAGACAACACCTGGCGGGGGCCAAACTCTCAAACAACTTCACGCTGCTCGGATCAAGTTTCGCACCAGGAAAAGGCGAAGAGCCTCTTCTTTCTTCCTTTTTTCTTTCCGAGTAGCAAAACAAGCGAGGTTTGCAGAAACCAAATAATCTGGGATGATTTATTTGCATCAGACGATCTGGTTTGGTGAAATTAGGCGCCTTGGTTTGTGGGTTTCAGATTAGAAATGAAGCAGCAGCGAGGGGCTCGGCCGTCCCTCCATCAGGCAGGAAGAGAGGAGAGGGGCCAAGCCTCAGAGAGCCGCTGCATTCCCACCAGGGCAACAAGGAGGAGGACAAAACTGCTTTTTTCCTTTTTAAAAAAATCCGAGCCGCATCTCGACTGCTTCTTCAGTTTGGAAATGTTTTAATTTGCATTTCAATAATAAATATAATAAGTAAGAAGGAAAGAAAGGAGGAGAGAAAGCAGCTGATGAAGCCTTTTAACCCAGATCATAAATAAAAGAATAAATCCAATAAATCAGCTGTGGAGCAAAATGCTTCCCTGCTATTGATTGTTTGAAATCAATAGATGAAATCTGATCTGGATAAATAACCAGTGCGGCAGGAATTCACTTCAATAAAATACTACTAATAATAACAATAATAATAATAATAAATATTGGGACGCTCAGTTTATTCATTTCAAACGAGAAAAAAATGTGGATAAAAACAATAATATTAATTAAATAAAGTAACGCTTTGTGGATTATTTTACCTCTGATTTTAAAAAAGTTAAAAAAGTTCAATTTCCTCCTGGTTTCAGTTTGGAGCTGCAGACAGCAGCCCGGACCCGCAGCGGCTCCCGCAGCGGCTCCAACCCGGCCACCGCATCCACCCCGCACCCCACGCACAGCACGCGCTCCCCGGATCTGCTTACCGTTTTTCCGCCTCGGATTGGCTTGTTTTCGCCTCTTACACCTGGGGCCATCCGCCATGATCTCCTGCTTCATTGATAGGTGTGTGTGTGAGTGTGTGAGTGTGTGTGTGTGTGTATGTGTGTGTGTGTGGAAGGTGGTGGAGGAGGCTGGGGATCAGATGGCAGCTCGCATGGACTCGATCCCTGATTTTTCTGCTGATTTTCTGCAGGAGACAGAAACACGGAGCGTCAGGAGGGACAATTCTGGAAAATGGAAAAACGGAAATCTTCACTTTCATCAAGTTGATTTTATTTTAACCAGGAAATTTAATCTAATTATTTAAAAACTGCATTTATTTTATTTTATTTCATTTTTAAAAAGTATCACAAACCTGGTAAAATATTAATAAAGTGAATCCAAACTCCTGCTGATAATTCAATAAATGTCCAAAAAGACAAAATACTGAAATAAAGACGCGATTTGGACCCGAACCGGATCTGAGCCTCAATTAACGCGAAAACAGCAGAAATGAGACAAAACGCTGCTTTATTTCAGGTCCAAATGTCCCGAACCCGAACCGGGACCGGAACACATTAAAGATAAAAAAAAAACTCATTTTAGTTCCGATCCAAACTTTCTTTTTAACGCCGAATCTGAGCCGCTGGGTTCTGCGTTCCGCGCTGCGCGTCTTCACACATTTTGTTCCAGTCACAGGAATGAAAGCTGAGTTGGGTTCTGGTTGGGTTCTGGCGGCTCGGTTCGCCCGGATATTCACACATGATGTTGGTTCCGATGAGAACGCGAGGCTGGAAGAAACGGACCGAGACAGACAAGAGCTTCCCGGACCGGCGGGTCCGAGCCGGGACGCCTCCTCTTCATCCTCCTCTTCATCCTCCTCCTTTGTTGCATTAAATAAGGAAAGGTGAACCAGCAGCACCTTTCCTTCCTTCCTTCTTTCCTTCCTTCCTTCCCTCCTTCCTTCCACCTGCGCAGGTAAGCCGAAGTTCAGCTCCAAGTTTTTCGCGGACGCGCGCAAAGTTCAAATCCAAAGAAAATCCGAAAAAAAAAAGCCATAAAAAATAAATAAAAATAAATAAAAAGACGAGAGAGAAAGTCGCACCTACCTGCTTGTTTTTATTAAAGCGAGGCGCTAAAGACGCGTCTGTCTCTCAGACGGGAGCCGAGGAGGGATGACGGCGAGCGGATCCTTTTCCACCGGTGATAATAATAAAGCCTTAGAAATAAAAGCCTCAGAAATAGTTGGAGGAGGGAGGGACCGCTATTCCTGCTAGGGCAGGTTTACAACTGATGTCTTACACCCACTCCAGGAAACAAACCTGGGTAGGGACTGACGTGTTACGCCTCTTCTAATGACATTTTTTTCTCTCTCCTCTCCTTCCACCTCCTTTTCTCTGCCGTGCGGAACAGAGGAGGAAGAAGGAGAAGCCCCCTGAAACGCACGCCACCTATCTTCACGGGAGGGGATAATTGAGGAGAGTCAAACGTGAGCATCTTCTGGGTTCAAGTTGTTTTTTTTCCTCCTCTCTCTCTCTCTCTCTCTCTCTCTCTCTCTCTCTCTCTCTCTCTCTCTCTCTCTCTCTCCTCTCTCTCTCTCTCCTCCTCTCTGTTCTTTCTTTCTCGCAGAAGAAATGCGGCTCTTTATTTTTGCAGAATCAGACGGGAAGCGGCTGGACTCCAGTAAGGATCTTTTTTTTATTTCAAATATTCAAACTGCAGACTTTGATTTATTGAACATGTTTATTTACGTATCAGCGCACCTGCGTTGCGTCACCTGGATGCCAGGTGCGCCTCCAGGTATTTTTACCGCATGCAGAAATTCAGCCAGAAACTGTGCAAACTTTGCTGATATCTTGGCGCAATTAATGCGGAGGAATTTGAGAAAGTGTAAAAGTGGGTGAAATGTGGAAGTGGAGCGTGTGCGCGGCGCGGCGCGGCGCGGCGCGCGGCGCGGCAGGCTCCACCTTTGCGGCGTCCTGATTGGTTATGTAAATAAAGCGTTATTGTGTCCGGTCCTCCTGCAGCTCCGCACTGTATGGAGAATAAAATCATCAATCAAATCGGGAACCAAACAGATCGAAGCCCCGAAAACTAAACAGGAGAAAATTTATTTTAACTTTTTAAAAATATTGCTTCCAAAAGGAGCTTCATTTAGTTTATTTGGTTGATTTATTAAATGAATTAGTTTTTATGTGTTTCTTCCTTTTTCCCTTTGTCTGTAGGTGCGAGCAGAGGCTCAAATAAGGGGCGGGGGCCAGAGGGCAGCAGTGGCCACCTTCTGCCCCCCAACCAGAAATAAATAATACTTTATTTAAAAGAAGAAAATCAATTCTGCAACTTTTAAGTATTTATTTAGTCTTTTAGAGGAGTGATGTCACTGAAATATATCTTTTAAAAAGCAAAGATCAGATTTATTTATTTATTAGTAATTATAATTTATGTTTTTGTCATTAGAGCCATTAACAAGCTGCAACATCTATTTATTATCTTGGATGTATTTTTTTTCCTGCTGCTGTTTGATTTCACCAAACTAAAAATACCCTGAATGCATCGTTTTAATATTTCGTCTGCAGCAGCAGGACTTGCATCCTCGGTGTGTTTTGGGTTTTATTTTACATTTTCTTCTTTTCTCTTCTTAAATGTTTTCATCCAAAACAAAGAGGATGAGGAGGAGGAGCGTCTGTCCTGGATGCAGTCCTGGCTGAATTATCGTCATGCGTAATTTACTGCCACGGAGCGCGCATGTAAACCAAGCACACACACACACACACACACACACCACACACACACACACACACACACACACACACACACACACACACACACACAGGCTGGAGTGGCCTCCTCTGTGGGGCCACATATTCACCGTGAAAACGGATTACAGTGTCTGTGTGACCTGCAGGGCACCTTGTGCTTAATGAATATATGGCTTTAAATCAGGGGATTTATTGACTTTGTGCATTTTAATAAAAAATTCCCATTTTGTTTTATTTTTGGAAAAATAAGAAAAGATGACTTCTTGTGTTTTTCCTCTGAATAAAACCTGAAACCTTCAAAATGTCTGTTTGACTTGGATCCTGTGAATTTGCTCTGCGTGTTTCTGCCTCTTGTGTTTTATTCTCCGCAGCGTTGAGCCTTGCAGGCGGCGCTGCAGAGAGGCAGCAGGGATGCTGCTGCGCTGTCTCCTCGCTGGAGTTCAGCTCCTGTTTTCCAGCTCGGGTTACGCAGCTGCTGCTCTGCCACGGAGTGAGTCGGCAGCAGAAACTCGACGAGACGCGGCTTCAGGATCTAAACGACGAGCCGCGTCGCAGCACCTGCTGCAAACAGCTTGGATTCGGCACATTTCGCCCATTTCTTGCTGCGGTTTGAGTCGGAACCGGCCTGGATTCGGACCCAGAGACGGGATGCCGACGCACAGCGAGCCTCGGGGTCTGAGCTCGGTTCTACTCGTTGTGCATCCAGCAGCTCAGCCGCCAGGCGTCCCTGATTATTGGCCTAATTTAGATCTGAGAGTCACGTGACGACGCAGAGCATCCAGCCGTGAATTCAGGCTCCGTCCTGTCAGGAGAAATCAGATGCTTCTCCCAAACCTGTTGCGAGACGGAGAAGAGGATTTTGCATAAAAGAATTCCTCAGAAATGCAAAATATTTCCACTCAGTCGTGGTTTAATCCTGGATGAGGATTTAGACGGGAAAATGTTTCTGGCTTCCAGATTCGTTTAAACACACATGAGGCAACGCTTCGCCCTCCAATCTGATCCCTTTCCAAGCAAAACAATGATTCAGCTTCTCCAGATTCACAGATCCGACTGTTCTTCAGCCAGATACCGATCTGATTGGATCCGATCGGTTCTGATCTGATCGGTTCTGATCAGGCAGGACCTTTTGGGTCATGACATCAACTAAAAATGGGTCAAAAGTTACATTTAATTCACCTTTTTATGTTCCTAGAGAGATAAAAAGGTGAACAACATGAAGAAGTTTCAGGTAAATTTCTGTTAATTTACAACAAAACTAAAATAAACAACTCAACATAAAATCTTTGATTTACACAATTACAAAGAATAAAACTGAGGTAACAAATTATTTCCTCAATTTACAGTTTGCAAATCCTGGATTTAGTTTTTATAAAGTATAATTAAAACCTTTTAATTGATTATACATTTTCAGTACCTCTGCAGATAAATTGAAATTATGTATAATTACTCATTTTAAGCAACTTTATAAGTAAATATAGAGGATAATTTGGCGTCGTTTACCAAGCGATGTGGTAAAACACAACTTTGAATTCTTTAATTTGCTCCAAACTGTTTCTTAACACACTAATGTCACCATAAAGTTAGTAAAATGGAGCTTAAGCAACAAACAGTGAACTATAAAACCAATAAAAAACTAATATTACAGCAAATTATCACAACCGAATGCTGCAGATTCCTCTTTTTAATTCTTATAACAACTTTACAGTCAACACATTTTTATTATATTCTAGAATATGATGCAGTACATTCTATCACTTCACATGAAGTGAATTAAACTAACTTAATTTTACGTTCATCTAAATTATGGAGTCAACATGGAAACGTAAATATAGAGAATACATTCCTGCAGCTTTACGCTCAAATTACAGAAAAAGTTGTATAATTTACTGCAAACCACTTGAATTTGTGCTTTAATCTACAAGAAGAAATCAGAATAAGGAGCAATTATTGATCAATTTTATAAAATAATACAGGAAATTATGTCAAAAGGAAACAGAAAACTGCAGTTCAGTTCTTGTTTAATTAAAAAAACTAAACATTTAGTTGGATTTGTTGCTTTGAACACTGCGCAGATTTCTCTAAAAGCTGATATTAAAAATAAAAATTATAGTTTTTAACCAAAATGAATCAGAATCTCAGTGAGGCAAAGATAAAGTCAAAGCTCTTAAAACAAACAAATATATTAATAAATATATTTGTACTTGAAATTGTATTATGATATTTTGTAGTAGTATTGTGAACACTATAAGAAATGATCATAAAAAAGTATTTATTGCTAATTTATTCAGTTTAGTGTGGATGTGATAAACACAAATACAAACATTTCCAGTTGTATTGTGATTAAAAATGTGATTTACGTCACTAAGCTGCAACTTATTTTAATCATTTTTCTATTTTATTGATATTTATAGATACTCTGATGAAACAAACTGTTTAATCAGAGTTTAAACGTCATTAAGTAGAATTCATCCAATGACAAGGAATTTATCGCGATAAATGATACACGATAAGATAAATGATCATTTCCACAATTTTTGTAAAACATTTAACGCCTAACAGATAGTTTGAGTCATTAATTAGATTTTTTTGTGACGATGACAAATCAAAATTTCTATCATGACAAAAATGTATCGCAATAAATGATAAACGATAAATAATTAACAATATAAAACATTTAAAAGACAAATCAAGTCTCAGTAACAGTTATTTGAAGATATCTGCAAAAAGTCAAATTAGGATTTAATTTGTGAATCAAATTCAAATTAAAAAAGCTCTAATGGAGACGAAACGCCGGCCTAGTTCAATCACATGTATTTGTTTACCTTTAAGATCACAGAACCCCAGAGTTTTCAGTTCCTGCACTTTATCATTTGGTTCTGGGAATATGAGAAGTTTTAAGGACTGAAAGTTTTCACGGAGTAAATACCAATTATCACGACTTTTTGTGATGCAGAAGCCAAACGCAGCCGATCTGACCGCAGATAAAACCGGCAGGGAGGGACAGTTTGCAAATCTACTCCTACGATTCAAAGCAGCTGTCAAGCGGCTGCAGCTCAGCCTCTCGAGTGTTAAACCCTCAGCAAACAGTTTGTGTGTTTCAGCCCTGAGAGCAACTTTTCTGCTCTTTTTCAAATTAAAGTAACGGTTGTTGTTCAGACGGATCGCGTCTCCTCCTCGCTCTCGTTTGGAACATCAAAACTCGGCGTCTCTCGGCGGGGCTCGGCTCTGTGATGACCACGCCACAAAAACACCAGAGAATGACGGACAATTAAAGAACGAGAGGCGAAGGCTGGACTCTGTGAAAACATGCAAAACGAATCTGGTTTACATTGGCCACCAGCGAGGGAGAGGCAGAGGAGAGACGCTCGCTTCTCTGAGCAGTTTTGATCTCACTCAGTTGGGGAAGAAAGCTCGCCAGGAGAACAAGAACGCTGCAGAAACAAATGATCACTGCAAAAAAAGTATTGATTTTCATGTTGTTCTTGTTAGCTGAAAACTGAGCCGAGGCTTCTACAAATGACCACTTATCCAACCGAGGCTCTTGTAAAACAGACAAACATACGATGTGTTTTCTTTCCTGTAAAAAGAGGTCAGATGCTTTGTGGTTTCTAAAGCATCCACTGAATAAAACTCACTTTCTTTTTTACTTCTTTCGCTGTGAGTACCTCAGATCCAGATGTTTGAGTTGTTTTTGTCGTCTCTGGCAATGTGAGCAATCAATATTCAGAAAATAACCATCAAATTCAAACGCTTGGTTAGTTACATGGAGTTCATGGCTGATATCCAAAAATAAATGATTCCTGTTGCAATCGTTCATTATTCTCTGGCTTTTATTTCACAATTTCTTAAAGGTGACATTACGCTTCCTTGAACAGGTTAGGATACAAAACATGTTAATTGGATGTTTTGCACAAAATTATTCTCAGATAATGAAATTTCAGTTTGTTTCGAGCTGTTTCAGGACACCTTGCCACTTTAAATTCAAGTAATCTGCTGCAACGTTGAATATGGCAGCAAACAGATGCACAATTACACAGCAGTACATCTTTGAAAAGCAGAAGTGGAGCCTCCTGCACAACCGACAACAATTCAGCAACTGGATTCTGGATTCGAAGTGAACAACAAAACACTTTCCCACTTTTTCCAGCAGCCATTGTACAACGATCAAACCAGCTAATCAAATGTGTTGGAGCATAGCTTGGGTTGCTAAGTAACGGGGGGAACTCTACCGGGGTTGCTAAGTAACGGGCGGAACTCTTCTGGGGTTGCTAGGCAACTGATTTTTGTCAATCCTTTCCGGACGTTTTGGAAACGACTCGTTTTCCATTCACCAAAAAATAAAAACAAACATTGACTTATTTTCTAACGCTTGGGCTTTTTTAAAATTAGCGGTAGAAACCCAGATGGAAAACCACAAAACAAAAGATATCAGGAAATGAAATATTACATACAAAAATCGTTCTGATAAATGGCCGACGTGTCACGACAGGCAGCGGAGTTAGCAAGTAGGAATGAAGCGGGAGTGAGCTGGACTGGCTGTTTGCAACAGATACTGAATCTATTAAAAATGTGCAGTCAAATTAATAAGAAGATAAGAATGTTTTAGATATGAAACAATCTGCAAAGAAGAATATAACGAATATTTACAATTTGGTTGTAAATTACAAAATTACAATTTGGTTCAAATAGAATAAAAATATGCAAAACGTTCAGTGAAAACGGAAACCATCAGTAAAAATTAGCTGCCTGCGATATTAACTGCCTGTTTTATTAGTTTAAACACATAGTCTACTTTAAAATGCATTATCACGACAGCGGAAATAAGGATTTAATCTGCAAACTGCTTTTTCTTTCAAAAATAATAAAAATAATTTAAAAATCAGGGAAAAAGCAGGAAAAAAATCCAGTTGAATCTGCAAATAGATGGCTGTTCATTTAACATTATTATAATTATTTTTATTATTAGTTGTGTAAATACATATTTATATATGTATTTATCTTTTTGAATTGATATTTTATTGTTTATTCTTTGTTTCTTTTTCACTAAATTATATTTTATTTAACTTTACTTTATACCCTGAGAGTTGATTGTGCATAAACTCAATGAATATATTACAAAAGAATTAACTGAGTTGATTCAGATCAGTTACTTGTTAAAACCTGAAGTTTTAAGGCGACCAGAGCTGCTGTGTTACTCTGTGATTTAAAAGCAATAAAAACAATAAGTGATAAGACTGAACATGATCTGCCTGGGCTGAGCGTGAATCAAAGTAAGTGGCTGGTTCTCTGGCTAAACAATCACAGGAAAGATCCAATCATGTTGGCAGCAGACACAAAGAGGCGTTTGCACATACAGAATGCATAATGCGCCGTCTAACTGTCTGATCCCGTCACAGTCTCTGCATAAGTGCCACCAAAACAAATCCAGCACATTTACTGTACTCCACAAATAAAATGGTTCTGATTGGGATGCTGATAGATCCCTCAAGAAAACTTTTTACTCCAAGATGAAAAAAGGCGCCTTATCGCTCACTGGAATGAATAATTGACGGCGTCTCCGATGAATAATTAATCAAACATTTGAATAATTGTTGTAGCTCTAATCTCGACAGACATTTGCATATCTGCGTGCTCTTAATATCTGCCTATGTATATGAGGTTACATCCTCCCAGGACACGGAGATAGAATTAAAAGATTGAGCATTCATATGCACAGACCTTGACCCACTCAGTCAGAGCCGTCCACATAAACCCAGATCAGCTGCAATAAAACGCTGCAAACAGAGGGAGAGAAATTTGTTTACCAAACTGGTATTGATAAGGTTGGAAAAACAAGATTTGCAATCATACTGCAAAACCTGGAAACCAAACACTCAAAGGAATATGTTAACTTACAGGAGGATAATTATTTCACATGCTAATGTTATGAAAACACAACTGTGTTCTCTACGACAGAGTCAGAATTGATTTTCAGTCTTTTAAAGCTGAAAAGTTCAGATCCAAATGTTTGGAAATAGAGTTTTTATATTATTAAAATAATTATTGACAACTGTACTGAAGTTCAGGAGACAGGTTTTAGCTAAACAACAATGGTTTATCTTTGCACTAATTTCACTCAACTTAGCCACATTAGCTAATGTGGCTAAGTTGAGCCACATTAGCCTTCCTTTAACTTAAGTTAGAGAGTTTCTTACGTCTAATTTTCTGGACAAAAAGAACAACTAGGTAAAATATCACTTAGTTCATCTAATTAACTTACCTTATCTTACTTTAGCTTAATTTATTTCAGTTTAGCTACATTAGCATAGTGCACCTAAAATGCCTTACCCTAGTTTAGCTCTCCTGTGGTTAGCCTTCTTTAGCTTAACCTAGCTTATGTTATGTTCCTTATCTTAGCTCAGTTTACTTTATCTTAGTTTATGCTAACTGAGATTAACCTCACTAATTTAAACTTAGTGTAGTCTTTTTTATCTACCTAGTTTAGCCTATGTTAGCTTAGCTTAGCTTACCTCAGTACTTGTCAGATGTTAGCTGGATCTGGACTGAAACGTTTGGAAAATTTGAGGCAAACTCCTCCAAATACTTTCACAAAGCCTGCAGAACTTCAAATTCAGACCATTTGGGAGATTTATCACCTGATAATAACCAGCTAGTGATTCAAACATAATGAGCTCTTCTGTATTCAGTGTATAAACATATCTGACATAAAACTTCAGTTTTGAAATGTGTTCATTTCACAGTAAAAGCCATAAATTCAGCTAATGGTGAGCATCATTCCTTTAGGAGGGAGAAACATTCCCAGTGTGTGTGTTCGGGCGTGGCGGTGGCGTTGCAACATGAACTCATCAAAAACCATTATGGTTTACTGGGATTCTCAGCTCAAGCTGGACCTGGGATTGTCTTCAGTAATTGTTCTTAAAGGATCATCTCAGAGATTTCAAATGCAAGCCTAACCAAAGATATGTTGAGCACACAGGATGCTCGACTACGAAGAGGAAATTTGAAACATTATGTAATCTGAGGAAACACAAAACTATATTATGAAAATATAGTTTCAACTTTTAACGAAAACACAAAAACCTATCAAGTATTTTTTATAGTCCCTACTGCAAATATCTTAGGATACTTGAAAAAAAGCAAAATTAACTTTGCAGCAAGATATAGGCGCTTGTTTTAAATCAATAATTTCTTAATACTGATTAAAGATAATATTGTTACCAGTAGAACTATTTTTTTTATCAATATTAATGAATTATTGACTTAAAATTAACTTAAACAAAAGTTTAAAGGAACTTTTGCTGAAAAATTGCTTGTTTTTGCCGTATTTCAGATATTTGCACTAGAAAATAAACAAAAATACTTGGTAAGATTTTGATTTGGAAAGCTTTTTGACATAATCAATAAAAACTGCTGAGATCATATTAAAATGAGCTTAAAGATCCGAAATATTTCAGTGCCTAAGAAGCCGCAGTACATTGTTGTTTCCCTCCTTCATTGTCACTCAGTGAAGTCCAAAGTGTCTTGGTGTTTTCGTCGGTCCACTGAGAAACAGCGAGTGGGAGCTTGTGACTGTGAATCGTGTTGCATGATTAGTCAGGGTTAAGATGGATGAAACATTACGTCTGGTTCAGGAAAAGGTCATGCTTGGTTCATTTGTTGCCAATAATCAACCAAAAAGCTGAACTTTGTGGCAAAATCAGCAAAACCTTTAATTCCTGAATAAGTTTCCTCACTTGAGGCTTTATTTGTTTCCGCCTTTCTAGCAAGTTTCCAACTTTTTCTGCTGATTCACAGAAACGTGGGGACTCAAGTTGCAACATTTGTTACATTTTAAGCTACCGTTTCAAATTATCCAGACTTTGAAAAAGCTGTTCCCCTCCTGGCCTGTGGGGGCGCTGCATCAAGAACCACTGAAGAAAAAGACACCAAAACCTCTGAAGACACTCAGAGCAACTTCCTAAATAAAAATGGAGTTGTATCAAATTTTAGCGGTTATTTATCTTAGGTAAAAGACAACGAACGTTTGTTTTGGTTGTATTTACCCAGAATGCCTTGTGCTGTAGTCCACTTCCTACAGCAGAAACACAAAATCTTAGAAAGTATTTTTATCCAGTTTAAAGTGCAAATATCTTTTGTACATCGAAATTAGATAAAACAAACTTATAAGAAACTTTTCTGACAGATATAGGAGCTTCTTTAAGTGGAACAAATACTTTTTGTCAAGTTATTTTTTTCTTATTTCCAGTGAGGTCACCAAACAGACTGGTTTCCTCATGACTCTCTAACATGTTCAGGATAACATCCCAATTGAGCAAAGCTTTCACTCTCATCGCTTTCCTGCACAGCTAGCTAAACCGCAGATAAAAGTGTGTGTGTGTGTGTGTGTGTGTGTGTGTGTGTGTGTGTGTGTGTGTGTGTGTGTGTGTGTGTTGGCTTGCGTATTGGGAGCCGAGTCAATGATTCGTCTTTTGATCCTGGCGTGCTTGTTGTCAAAAGCCGCCTGGATTGAAGAGACTGTTGGCCACAATTGACTGTGACAATTAGGGCACGATCACAGTCCCTGAGTGGAGCACTTAAAGGCTAATTTACATGTCACTTTGGCGAATTAAAAAAAAATAATAATAGCAAGAAAAGATATTCTGCCTTGCCCTCCTTGCCTCCCACCTCCTCGTCTCTCTATCTACTCCCCTTTTTATTCCTCCATGCCTTGTAAACTGTAATTTGTACACTGCTTAAGGCAATGGGCAGAAGAGAAGCAACCGGCATTTCCATTTGAAAAGAGGCAATCACCAGGCCACTGCTGAGCCTTTTGTC